ACTGGTAGTGAGATATTGGTAAAGGTAAAGGTTCCCCTCGAACATATGTGCTAGTCGTTCCTGACTCTAGGGGGTGGTGCTCATCTCCATTTCAAAGCTGAAGAGCCAGCGCTTTCTGAAGACGTCTCCGTGGTCATGTGGCCAGCATGACTAAATGGCGAAGGCTCACAGAATGCTGTTACCTTTCTACCAAAGGTGGTTCCTATTTTTCTACTTGCATTTTTACCTGCTTTCGAACTGCTAGGTTGGCAGAAGCTGGGGCAAGTAACAGGAGCTCACTCCGTTACGCGGTGCTAGGGATTCAAACCGCTGAACTGCCAACTTTTTTGATCAACAAGCTTAGTGTCTTAGTGCCCCAAAGATGCGATTAAAACTACTTGCCACCATTTCCTCAGGTATTTTTTGCTCATCTTGTTCATTTACCTTGTTCTTAAAGCCTGCCAAGCTGCATCGATGTCGGCATAGAGGTTTTTTTCCGATGGTTTACCAGTGCTGACTCCATAACCCGAGTAATCATAGGAGAAGACATTGCAGTTGATGCGGGAGCCGAGGCCAATATAGAAGCTGCACATCTGGCCCAGGTCGACAGCATTGCCATGAGAGAAAAGCAGGGTATACCGGCTGGAAGGAGCACAGCGAACGAACATGCACCCGAGCCGATTATCCCGGGCTGTGCGCGAAAAGAAGACTTCAACGGCATCCAGTTCTCGTTGGGAATACTGCCAGTCGGCCCGTTCAGTCAAATGGAGGCTACAGCTGCTGGTCGGCGTCCCCACCGTAGCAGCGCTTTCTTGCTGTTCTAGTTGCATCACAGTGTAGGTGGGTTCCGGGGGCAAAAAAGCCAGTTTGGCCGCTATGCGACTGGGGCAAGGCGGGCAGCAGAAGAGCCAACATAGCTCACCTAGAGAGAAACCGTTCATCCTAGGGCCTTGTTCTGGCATCAGAGACGCTGGATGAAAAAAACCACACCGAGAAAGAGACAGGAAAAGGACTCGGGAGACGATCCCGGAGGAAACGTTGTTTCCCTTCAAGCGACGCAGATCGGAGGCGACCCGTTTCATCAACTCACAGGGATTACACTCTTACAAATTCACACCCAAGAAGTCCATATGGCTTCTAGGAACAACCTGAATGGGCGCCAAGAAACGAAGTCCATCCTCAATTTTTGCTCCTGAAATGCCTCCTCAGCCCCAATAAGGATGGGTTTCCGGGTGTGGCCTTCAGCTGCTGGGCACTCAGCCTCTCTTTTTATCCCACCATGAAGCCTTCTCTTCTGAACTGTCACCTACCCCAGGTACCTAAACCTGGCATGATCGTTACAGACTCCCCCTAAACCCACATGGAAGATGCCCAAGATCCTTCCTGGCTTATGGAGAGCGCCACTCTATTAATTCTCAGCACCTTTATGGGGCTTTTTTTTTGAAAAATGAAATTATGGCAGCCCCTACTCTAAGATTTGATACCCTTCTTCAAGGAAGCCCCCTCTCACAATGAAGGAAGTCCTCTCTCAAAATGAACGAAGCCCCTCTCAAATCACCCCAAATACCCCTCCACGACCCCTTCCTCGCTCTCTTTAACACCTGAAGGCTTCCAATGCTTGGGACTCCCACCTACCTTGTTTGAAACTCTCCCTCTCAGCCTCGGCTACAGCCCTTCCCCCACCCTTTGGCTGTATCCCCTTCCCCTTAAAGTTAGGGAGACCCCCACCCAAGCAGACTCACAAAGGGCCCACCCTGCCAAAAGGAACCCCGCCCCCTAAGCCAGTCTGAGGGGCTTCTCCGCGTTCAAGGCGGCCTTGAGGAAACGGGAGTAGGGTGTCTCCAAGGGACGGAGCGAGAAGGCCTCGAGAGAAAACCAGGCCCGGATAGTCAGGCGGTCCCTCTTCCTCCTCCCGCGTCCTTCGCCCTCCACGCGGCTGCAGGGGCGTCCCGAGACTTCGGAAGCGGGAAGGAGGCCTAGCCGGCGGCTTCGGAGCAAGACCGGGCCTCCCTTTCGACCTCGTCTTCTTCCTCCCCGGACTGCCTTTCCCTCCTCCCAATCAAGCGAGGGTTCACTTCCGGATCATGGGCCGCCCCGTTCCCCCGGCTGGACCGCGAAAGAGCAGCACTATACAGCGCACCGCCGGAAGAGAGAGAAAAAACAGAGGGGAGGGGGGGAAAGGAAGAGTCCAACCAACCAAACAGAAGAGCGGCTGGGTTTCCCCCCCCCATTCTCCGTCTCACCCCTTCTGCGCCTGCGCATTCTCCGCCGCTTTTCGTCCCTTCTCCCTATTATTAACCATAGAGTCCTGCCGCGATTTATTACTGCCCCCTGGACAGGCGCAGCTAAAACTGCTGCTGCTTCAGAACAATCCCGCCCTAGTTTAGCCGGCTTTCGGCACGTGTAGGCAGCCGGTGCGTTAGCTGGTCCTGTTCAGACGACCTCGGCTTCATCCGTGTCTGAAGTTGATCTGTGCAGACTGACATGGGAGAAATCCCCACTTTGTCCAAGGGAGAGGGGGTTGCTTCTGAATAGACTTGTTTGGCATTACAAAAGTCCTGACCTCAGCCTTAAGCAAAACACGAATAGGGATAGGGATAGCATAGCATAGAAGAAGGAATAGGATAGGATAGGATAGAAGGAATTGAATTGAATTCTGTATTGGCCAAGTGTCTTCTGTGCATAAGCTCTCAATATACATAAAAGACATGCGTGATAAATCATGATCATAGTCATCATAGAGATAAATCATAGGATACTAAATAAGCAATCAACATAAATCATAGTAGGAAACAGAAACAATATAAATCATAGAGATATAAGCAACAAAGCTATAGTCATAAATAGAAAAGGAGATAGGTAAAATGAAAGATGAGAAGAATAGATTACAGCCTTACTAAATAGTTTGACAGTGTTGGTTACGTTATTCTATATGTTCAGTATTATAGCTCAAATTTGCTTCCAAGTTAGTTGGACTAGGATGATAGATCAGGTTGTTAGTTTGATTTTTATATCCTGCAAGCAGGGCCGGATTTTCCTATAGGCTAACTAGGCTTCAGCCTAGGGCCTCAAGATCAAGAGGGGCCTACATTCAAATT